TTCATCGGATGAGCATAAATAGCAGTGTTGCCTCTGACGAAGAACGAAGTGGATGCCTCCTCAGTCCCACTCCTCCTGTCTCCATCTCCTGCTACTCTCTGCTTCCTCTTGAGTATCTCCAGGAGCGTATGATCCTCCTCAGTAAAGACCACCTTAGCTGCTTCCTCTCCCTCTACTACCATCAGATTCGCCCGGTTGTCTGCTCCTCTTTCACCTCGTCGACCCCCACGGCCACGACCACGACCTCCGAACTATCCACGTCTACCCAAATCTCCTTCCTTGAGTGACTTGGTGCAAGCATGTCTTAAATGACCCACTTCATCGCAGTTGTAGCACTGCCGAGTCTTCCCCTTGGATCCAGTGTTGCCAGAGTTGGAGGCAGCCAGTGCTAACTTCACCACAGGAAGTCCACATATCCCCGCCTGCAGCCTAATACGAGTCTCCTCCTGGATCATGATCGAGACTGCCTCCTCAAGTGTGGGAATTTTCGGCTGAGCTAGCAGCAATGTAATCCTCTGAGCAAATGTTGATGCCAGTCCCTTGAGAAACATCATAGTCCTCTCTTGTAGAAAGGCCTCTCGCTCCTTACACTCCGGGTCCTTGCAGCTCGTCCGATGTGAGAAGTGATCATAATCTAGCCACATGCGCTCCAACTCTGTGGCATACTCCTGTACAGTCCTCTCTCCCTGGACTGTGACGTCGATCTCTCCCTTGATCTGGAACACCCTCAGGTTATTCCTCACCTCATCATAGGTCCTCCTCAACTTCTCCCAGACATCCTACACCTTCCCGATGCCATCTACTGTGATGACGATCGACTGGACCAATGAGTTGAGGAGCCAGATGTACACCAACATATGAGTGGACTTCCACTCATCTCTTCCCGTCGAGCCCTCAGTCGACTCTTTCTCTCCTGTCAAGTATCCCTCCAGGTTCCTCCCTGTAAGGGTGTATCTCACCCGTCGTGACCAACTCAGGTAAGTAGCTGGTCCATCAAGCTTCAGATCGATGGTTGGAAGCTCCAACTTTTCCAGTGATCTTCTCGCGCTCTCACCAGCCGACAACTTCATCAGCTGCATCAAAGTTGAGACCTCCGCAGGGTTCAACTTCTTGATGATCTCCCCCATCGATCAGGCTCTAGATCAAACACATGTTCTCCTTCTTCTCTTCGAACCCTTATTGTGCGCAGTGAAAATTTCGGTAGCACTTCTATTGCACAACAAGAGTAAGATCTCAACTAAATCCTTGTTTCTCAAAGGAAACAAGAATCGAAAGTGATATCTCAACAACGTGGGATATACACTCTTCCTCTCATCAGTTCTAAGACTGACATGTCGAGTGAATCTAACAAGCTACACATCCTCTCATTAGTTATATGACTGATATGTCGAGGGAATCCAACAAGCTACACATCATCGGCTGAGTGCAGCCAGCACAATGGCGGCGGCTTAGCGGGCAGCGGCCAGCGCGGGCTTAGCGCGCAGCGATGGCTCAGTGGCGCAGGCAGACGCGCGCGTAGGGTGTGGGGTGGAGCGGCTTAGGTTGGGGGTAGCGTGTTGGCGGGTGCATGGTAGAGCGCGGTGCAGGATTAGGGCACAGGACGGGGGTGCGGCAGAGGTCGGTCGGCGCGGCAGGGGGTGGTGGGGGTGGCAGAGCCCTTCAGGAGGGGTTCGGGTGCCGGCAAGGGGGGTCTGGGCAGCGTGGGCGGGTTTGGGAGGTGGGGCGACGGCTAGGGTTTGGGAGATGAGGTGGCCTGGGTTCCTAGCTCTGATACCATGAAGAGAATAGAGAAAACCCTCTTAGTTATTACTGAAATCTCTTGGGCTTATATAGGCCCCTACAAACACAAACTTACAAATAACCCCTACATATTATTAATATGTCAACAATATCCACTTACCATGTGCAATAAAACTGGAAATTGGAGAGTTTGAGATGTTGTCAAAAAGAATTGATAAGTTACTGATTCCCAAATTGAAAAGATAGTAGAATGCTGAAGGATTGATACATGTTATGGGGTCTAATACCTAATAGACAAAAACAAGTGTCCACAGCTACAAGATTATGTAACTCAAAAAGATATGGTGGAGGTCTCTCTGTAAAGATACCCATGTATTGTAGGTCTCTACTAAATTTGTACATAAACACAAGGTACTTGCAGTTGCAGGCGTTAGCGCACATGCGTATAGCTACAGCAGACCACCTTGCGGAATTAGAGAAAGTCTACTAAAGAGACTCTAGAGGTAGCTATAGTGGCAAATCTCGATAATGCTTTGTTTCTCCTTCAAAAGTAATATTGTCATGGAAGCTTCAAATTACCTAAGAAAATGACCGGCACAGTGATTAGAACAGCAGACTGTCTATTACAACTTTTAACAACCCTGCCAACTATAATCCAAATAAAACATCTTTTTTCAGAACTAAATTCAATGACAACTTGGCAAACGTATATTATATAAAGCTAACAAAATTACAGCTTACATGTAATCATTAAATCTGTCGATAAGGTTTCCCAGATAGCACATCAGAACAATGCCACTGCAGATCCATAGTAAAGAACTAAGTAACTGTGAGAACTTGGGCTCAAATCCCACTCACACCATTTGGCTAGCCTTTCAGATTATGGTTTATATTGGGATGAAAGGAAAAGACAAGAGTACCAAACCAGATATATCATAGTTTTAGTGGATTTGGTGCTTTATCAAGTCTTTTCTTCCATATAGGACCTTACCACAAGCATTTCAATTTTTTTTCTTTATTTTCCTAGGTTTAATTAAATAAACAGTAAAATAACTTTTCTCATGTGGTACATGTGAAATACTAAATTTCACATGATTCACTCAAAGTTGAGATAACAGGAGCATGTCAGATTCATGTGACAGGTGGTGAATATAGCTTATTGTTCCATGGTAATTACTAGTTAACTCTAATAAAATTGACTGCATCCAACATGTTGGTAACCTATTTTAACTCAACTTATGACTAACCACTTCATCCACGTAGTTGATTACACCAGACAAATTTACATCTCCATGGATTTATATGTGTGAGTTTAATCGAAAGTCAACCCTCATTTATCATAGGTTTATATTCAAATAATCTTCCTGTTGTTGATCTCCAGACCATTGTGACAAACCACACCTTATTTCATTAAGTGAACCGCCTCATACCAAGGGCTACTATAGGATTGGCTTTCCTTGACAATGACATTACTTATATTAACATTTTATGAAATAATGATATTGGAGTACATTAAGAAATGGATGCAAAGATTATAATTCAAGTAGACCCATGACTTGTCAGTTAAGGAAGCTATACCTTCATCATTGCCACCCATACCTTTTTCCAATCAAACAGGGTCTGCTATGGAGCAAGAATAAATTTGATAAAGTTTCACAAAATAGTTGAACAAGGTTTTTTGGTTGTCAATCTAAAAGCAACAACAGTTGATGCAATTCCTAGGCCGAGGAGCTATGAGCAAGACTGAGGAATACACAGAATGTTAACAGCCAGCCAGAATGTAGGTAGACCTACTTTTTGGTTAGGTAGTCTAAGCTTGTAGAACAAAGGATCAAGCTTCCAAGTTTCCCTAAACAAGGAGCAAACCTCCAGCTGTAGAGTTTTGAACTGATTACATAATCCTAAGTTCATATTGTCTTTTAGTTATAACCAGGAGTTTGCACTTAAGTGCAGCCTATGTACAACATATTAGATAACGAACCATGATGGTGAAAGCATTTGACATAAAAATTTTATGATTTTCCTGATTAAATGTAAATACATAGTAACAAACAAATTTATCTAAAACGGGAAGTATGATCTAGTATGGGTAGCACTATCCAAATAATATTCTGTAAGAGGTATTACAAAATAATCCTAGTTGAAGGGTTGCAACATCTTGATGAAGGTTCTGTGAAGTACAAATGTATGCAAGACAAATGGAGCATTACGAGAAAACCCCAAAACACTAAAAACACAAATCCCTTGTTTACAGCTGTATGCTTTCTTCTAGAACTTCCATAGTCATCCTTTAAGAGGAAAGAGAATAATTCCAAACTAACACATCATTTGGAAATACATGTATGGTTCAGTTTCATTGAAGAAAGAAAGAGATCAAAAGAATCAAATTAAAATGCTAAATAGATCTGAAATCAAGCAAATAATTGATCACAAAAAAAATCCAAATGAGGGTCTACAATTTTTATTTTTTGTACTAATCCAAGAAGATGATTCATCTAGAAGAAAGAACAGTAGGACCAGTCTTCCCTTCTTCATCACCATCCTTTACTGTTCTATGAATAATATGAGAGTAACTTCATGCACTTGGCTGCTATCTAGCTACAAGATATTGAAGAGTCATGTCAAGTGCAACTCATGGAAGGGCCACATTTCTCTACCTAGTAGTCAGATACTAATTAGATAGTTGTAGTTAGATTTAGTATTTTTAATTTGAGACACATAAAACTCGAGCTCCAAAACTACCTCTTTTGCCATTAAATATTAATAGTTGTGACTTAAAAGATTTATTTATTTGTCCAGGTAATATTATAGATAGAATTTTATACAATTTGCAAACTTAACTGTGATACTGCCATAAATCCAAGAATTTAACAGGAAACATGTAACCCACATCAATTTTTTCCCCTTATACTATGCATACCTGGCCTCCTTGCAGGACTCAAAAGTGCGGCAAAATTAAATGTATATAGTGATAGTATTGGGACTTTTCCATCGGAGTCTGAACTTGCAAACTATCCTAACATTGAGGATGGCAAACAGTTCTCAGAAACAAAGAGATGAACATAGCATATATATGTTCTAATTACAATTTATTGTCTTCCAAATTTCAAATTGTACCCAATTTTTACATGTTTTCTTTTAAAAAGAGAACTTACAACAATTATGCAGTTTAATGAACAAAAAAAATTTTGAAAGCATCGAACACATTCCACAGTAGATATGAGCTCATATATAAATATTGAATGTGGAGGTAAACTTACATGTGCAGCCATCCGCGCCCATTTATTACCCATCCTAGCATGGAGTTCAATGATTGTTTTTTCTTCATCTGGTGTAAAGGCTCCTTTTTTTAAGTTTGGGCGCAGATGATTAGCCCATCGAAGGCGACAACTTTTGCCGCATCGAGATAATCCAGAGTGCTTCTGGACAGCATTCCAGTTTCCTTCACCATGTTTTTTAACATATTCCACTAAGATGGCATCTTCTGCGGATGTCCAAGGTCCCTTCTTCAAGCCTGATCCTCCTCCAGCTGCCAATGATCCTCCTGAGCTACCTTCATCTATTGATGGTGAACCAACATGATCCCTTGGCAACATCTTCATGTCACTCTCGTTTGAGATATCACTCATTGCCCAGAACCTGCTTTCACAATATTAACTACAAGTTATAAAAATTTACACAAAATAAACTCTGCACGCAATGAATTTTTCATAACATCTAAGAAGATTATGAAAAAGAAAAAAAAAGGAAAAGCACAAAAGAGGGCCTTTTCCCAAAAAACAAAAGAAAAATTAGAAAAATATGTATAAATACTGGGAGATATAAATGAGCAAATCAACTAAGGAGAGTCCCAAAATAATAAAACACCAAAGAAGCTAATAGTACCACGCACAATGAGATCTGTTATAACAATTTGGCTTCTGAAGGAACTGGAAGAACCAGCTGCTTGAAGAAGCAATACACATGCGCAAAAATCTGATCGAAAAAGCCACATAAAACATGTTTTATTAACAAGACAAAAAATCATACTCTGACTAATGATAAAAAATTAATACTCAAACAAGTGTTTCTAGAGAGCGCAAGAAGCTAAAAACTCCATGATGTAACATCCATGATCGCATCATGAAAATAATATCCATAATAACCCCAATAGAGAATTGCTTAAATAAAAGCAGGAGAAAAAACATAGAGAAAAAAGTAACTTTAAGAGAAGAATAAGGTTTAGTTCCCCATTATAGAACATCTAATAATTCCACTTTGCTAAGCAATTGAGTACCATTAACTTTTACCAGAAAATGTTAGACCTGCTTAAAGCCGAAAATACCACATGCAAAGTGGTGTTCAAGATCATAATCTAATTCCCAACAAAGATAAAATCCAAAAAACTGCTTCCATAGGCAAACCATGAAAACCCCAACAACAAAATAAATAAATAAATAAATAAAAGGAGAAAATAACTCCGAAAACAAACAATTAAGATATAATCATTACAATCACCATGATAACTAATCATTTCATCTCCTAATATAATTGAATCTTGGAAGAAGAAAAATGAACAGCCTTCGAATCAAAGAGATAAAAGGGTTTAAGCATCATCAGCTACAGCGACAAAACATAAAAGAATTTTCTAAACATTTAACCTAAAAGAATCAGCAATAAGGCGCCAACCAATCATTCCACTTCCTAGAGGGGAAAAAATCCTAAAACAAGTGCTAAAGAGACCACAATACAAAGAGAAAAACTAAAAACAACTCGTGGATACAGAAAAAGCACCTAATTTTGTTAATCAGAATTTGAAAGTACAGAGTTCCCAAGCTCTAAACCCCGAGCAAGTACTAACAGAGACCACAGTAAACATAAAAATTAAAAGGAACTCTTGGGTAAAGAAAAAGCAACTAATTTTTAACCAGAATTTAAGATTACGGAGTTCTCATATTCACTTCTCAATCTACTTCAGAAAACCAACATAAAAACTTAAACATGAAAATTAAAAGAACTCGTGGATACAGAAAAAGGACCAAACTTTTAACCATAATTGAAACTTACAGAGTTCTATTTTCACTTCAAATCTGGGTTCAGAGAACCCATATCAAAATGCAACAACCATCTCGTTTACTTACCAAATATAAACTGCAAAACAATTAAAAAAAGTAACAGATAACTCCCTCCAAAGATAGAAAGAAAAGGAACCCAGACACGGTATTAATTATCTCCCCCCAATTAAGACAAAAAAAAATCGAGCATTTAGCGTTTACCGTAGCAGAACTAATAAAGACAAAATGACCTCTAATTAATAAACTGGAAGAGAAAAAAAAACTCAAAGCCGACACAATCAACACCTGTCATCCACCAGTAGACCAAAATTCACACACCCCCAACAACCCTAATCTCCTCCAAATGAAAAAAAACTCAAAAAAAAAATCTGTCCCAATCCATCAAATTCTCCCAAATTCGGCTCTGATCTCGTGAAATCGGGGAAACCCTAGCTTAAGATCCGCAGAATTGGGGGGCGAATGCGGGAGGAGGGAGAAAGAGAGGAGATCTTACCGAATCCAGCTCGAGCTCTGGCTTCTAGAGAGAGAAAGTGCAGGGAGGAGAGAGAAACGAGGTCCCTCTCCCTTGCTTTCTGCCCGCTGCCCGTGGCCTCGGGCGGACCCGATCAACGCTTTCACTCCCCCCCTCTCTCTCTCCCCCCCGTCTTTCTCACCCCTCTCACTTTTTATTTTGTTATTCTCACCCTACCTTTTATTTTATCCCCCTCTCTCTCTCTCTCCACCTTTCACTCTCATTTACCTTTAGAAACGAGCGCCTATGCGCCCCGCTTTTATTTATAGGAAGTTGAGAGTCTTAACGTGAAAGAACGAGTACATACAAATTGAGAACAAACGGGTCCGATCGAGTTGCGAGCGAGTATTTAAGGGAAGGATGTTGGGTTGGGCGCGCGAGGGGGTTATAATGTGGACTCGGTACGCACACAAATGCATGTGGTTTGGCTCGGTTTGGTATTTGTCAAGATGCAAGGTGAGTGTTTTTCTTTGGAGGGTGATGTAAGATGGAGAAATTACGATGTGATTAAATGAAGTTAGATAGCGTGTTGTGTGCGCGTCGTGGACATCCGGCAAGTGTTTTTTGTTTTTTTTTTTAATCGGGGAGTTTCGGAATTGGTGGTATTGAATACGATTCTGGATTGGATGACTCTTGATTTTAACGACGGTAAATGTAAAGAGTTTGATGGTAGGGATTCAAAATCAACGCGCATTGTGGTTTCATTCAAATTAGAGAATTTTAATTATGGTGTGACTAAATAAACTTAGGTCTCCTCCAAAAAAATAATAATAACAAATTTAGGTCGTGTGTCGTGTGTCATGCAAATTTAGGAATTATTTTTTATTAGATAGATTCGAAGTTGGTGGTATTGGTCAAGTTCTGAGTCAGATGACTCTGACTTTAACAATGGTTAACATAAAAGAGATTTGAAATCAACATTATCTGCAACAATCAAAAGTCTACAACGGATGGCGATAACATAATAACTATAATGCTAAATGAAAAAATTTAGGAAAACATGATTTAATATGTGCTAGATGAATGAGTAATACTTGGAAATGACCTCTTACGCATGTTAGAATATTGAAAATTTAACTTTTCCTAAAACGTTTCAAGTCGGTGCCAATATTAAATGGGTTAACAATCATATATTTTTTGACTGAATACATGATTATTATAGAGTGTTAGAATCTTAGGATAGAAATTCCTCAAAAAATCAATGTTGCGTCTGTCTAGAATTAGAGGTGATGTTCTGGTTAATGTAATATTCAAAATTTCTCTTGTAACGTGAAAAAGAAAAGAAAATGTTAGTTTTGTTTGTCCAAGCACGATTTGTTCTTGAAGTGGTTTGAAATGAAAAGTTATAATGTGACCAAATAAAATTAGGTCAACATTTTATTTCATGTTCATCATATGTAGAAATCATATAGAAGTCTTTTGCCCCTGGAGAGCCAAAGACGGTGATTATACCCAAAAGGTAATATCTGATATATTTGACTTGATAGATATTTAATTATAGGCACACGACAATACCTTATTAATAATAATTTTCTGAGAAAGTATTTAATGGTCCTCGTTATTGTATTAATGGTGCAAGAAATGCAGTCCTTTTTACTTCTGTTTTTTTTACAAGTCGTTTGCTAAGATGAAACTTTGAGGAGATGTTAAATGATGTTTGTCCATTGTATTAATGATGTTGCTAGAGTAGTGTTATATGCCCTTAAACATCCAATACATTTTTATTGAATATTAATTAAGTTTTATTGTTGCACATATTGTTTGGGTATCTTTTATATAATTGTTATATTATCCTTAGAAATTATTTTGTTAGATCATGCACTGTGATGGACACTTGTTTGGAGATATGATCTAATTTAGACGTTTCTTAAATTTGTGCTTAACCTATAACTAGTAAAGGATAGCTTTGTTATAACATGTTATTATGCATAACAACGACATATGAGATGTGATGGTTGATCTCAGCTATCGGGAATGAAGATTCCCCGTATGTATGTCTTAAGCGCATAGTTGATATGTGTAGCACAAGACCTTATTTAAATTCTCTAGGACGAGTCACCTAAGAGATAGAGAATTCGAATTGTTACATGATCCCTTAGACTTGATGATATTATCATTTTCAATTTGATAATTTAGTATACTTTGACGTGATGGTTAAGCTTGTTTTACAAGTGCTATACAACCTGAAATGTTGGGTTATTAGATTTCATTTAGGGAAATGATGGATATTTAGATAGGATCCAATATACTCATTTTTATGAGTTAATTTATAATTCATATCCCATGAAGATATTAAATTCTCGTCGATGAGTGATTTTTTAAAAATTATTTTTCTAAATTTATTTTCTTATAAAATAAAATATTTTAATATTTTAAAATAAATTTTTATTTATGTTCATGGGATTGTAATTTTAGGAATGAGCAAATAGGTTATTTTTCCAGCTCAATAAAGTTGCCTAAAATATATTGATATGGAGAGGACTGAATGTAAGATAATATTATTCACGAATATTTAATCCCATATTATTAAAGAGCTTTTATGAACAGTTGGTCAGATAGGGATTTGATTGTTAAATTAAGATTATTAATTTGATTAATAATTGGTTCTCGATATGGGACTCAATTGGTCTCACTAATGTCATTAAAAGAGGTTTACATACAATACAATTCTATTTCTATCCTAATTGTCATGAAAAAAATATTCTATCTTTAAATGTCACGGATAGAGTTTTAAACAATTAAGAATTATTTTGAAATTAAAATTTATAAGGCAGGTCCAATCCTATATGATTCATATGTAGCCTTATGAAGAAGAGAAAAGAAGAAAAAGAAATAAAAAAGGGAAATAGATTTTGAGAACATATCTCTTAGTATTGCTTCTCTTCGGTGATGGGCGGATTTTAGTTGTAGGTTTTTTCTCTTGAGGAAGCTATTTTGTATTGATCTTGGGATAGATTATTGAAGAAATTCGTAAAGCGTTTCAGGTACTCTTCTAGATTTTAATCAATTTTGATTAATCTACATAATATGCAACTTTCGCTGCATTGTATGTTATGTTTCCAACAGTAAATATATAGCTTCTAACATACAACCTCTTGACTTTTGCTTTAATTACAAGCCCTTTTATTTGTTTGCTAAACATGTTAGTAATAGAATGAGAAAGTATCAGATGGTCATATTTCATTGTATTAATGGTGCAAACAACTTTTGAAAATGTAGTCTTCTGACTTTTTCTTTTGTTACAAGTTTTTTCTTGAATTGCTTGCTAAATATGTAATTTTGAGTAAGTATCAAATCCTGAACTATTGAATAAATGGTGCAAACATATCCTGAAATGCAGTGTTTTGACTTTTGCTTATGTTACAACTTACAAGTTTCTTTTTTATTTTTTTGAATTATTTGCTAAAGTTATAATTTTGAGAAAGTATCGAATGGTCTGGAGCTATTATACTAATGGCGCAAACAATTTCTAATTACATTCTTCTGACTTTTGCTTTTGTTATAACTTACAAGTTCTTTTTGAAATTATTTACTAAAAGTGTAGTTTGAGAAAAAATCATGGTCTGGATCCATTGCATTAACGATGCAAACAATTTCTGAATTACAATCTTATAATGTTACTTTTATTAGGAGTTCTTTTCTGAATTTTTTAAAGCTAAAAGTGTTATCTTGAGAAAGTATCAATTGGCTATCTATTGTAGTTATAGTGCAAACAAGTCGTGAAAGTCACTCTTGTGACCCTTTATTTTGTTACAATGTCTTTTGTAAATTTTTTGCTATGCATATAATTTTGAGAAAATACTAAATAGTCTCAGTGCATTGCTTTAATACTGCAAACAACT